GCCTCTCCCCATACCATAACTGAGCCTCCACCAAATGGAAGTCGTTCGGCATTACACGCTTGAGCATATCTTTCGCCTTGTCGTCACCACACTCTGTTGTCAAAGCCAAGTGTTCTCGTGCAAAATTCAACCTTGCAATCCGGTGTTCACGGGAAAGCGGCGATCCAGTAGCCCTAGTTCGAGAAGATAATCCAGCAACATGAAGTCGCCTCCTAACTGTCCACTCAACGTTTAACATTTATCACTTCTTGCAGATGATTTCGAAGGGAATCTGTTGTAGTCCTGCCTCGTCCTGAACCAGTCTCTTCATACCGCTGAAATACTCGTTGGACACTGGATATACTTACATCAAAGTTTCGCGCTGACCGCGGCCATCTTCTATAGCTGCCGCAACAACAGTGGCCCTATTCTTGAGCATAATAGAATAGAACACCACCATGGGAGGAGCTAGTGTCTCAGCTGCATTAGCTGTGACTAAAACAGTTAAATTTTCTTTCTCGTCGTTGGTTCCAGCATTGTACACGCTTTTGTCGCATTTTCCCAATTCTTCAATAACTTTTTCGCGGGCTGTTGTTAAATTTTGTGCAACTATCTCGCTTAAATTTGGACGCCTTTTCAAAAACGACTCGTACCATTTTGACCTGGTGTCGAATCAGTGAAATGGTTTGGTCGTTTACTTTCTTTAATGATAAACTGGACACTGTCTAGTAATTGCTCTTTACCAACTGGATGGTGCACTTTTGCTAGAGAAAGTATCCACTGTTCGACAAGAGCTTGTTCATTGCTTGTGAAAATGATACTTGGGCCCATTTGGCAATATATAGGTAGCTTTTCTGTTCATTTATAAAGTAACGTTGTTCGTGGAACAAAGTAATTTTTAGCATATGTAGCTACTGGTATCCCTCTTGCTATAGCAACAAGAGCTTCATCCAACTGAGCCTCTGTATATTTTTTTAGGTGCCATAACTAATAAAAAACGTTCCAGTTATTGACGCTTCTTGTACTAATAATTGACACCCCTGTCAATAACTGGAACCAAAAAGCTGTTGTTAGATCTCATATTTAAATGGTATATTGCAGACTTTTTAGATAGTACAACAGTGTATATCAGTATTTGCTTGTGGATCAGTTATTCCCAGGGTATGTCAATAACTGGAACACACTGGTTTTGCTTTAATAAAAATGAGGTTTTAGGATTTACATGCATTGGTAGACAGTAAAAACTCATCGGTGTTGTTTAATACACCCCCAGGAATAGTTTAAATATAACATGAAATGATGAGAAGTAGATATATTCAATTTGGTATACTGACCTTATGAAATGTCTTAACATAAACACTCTATCGCTGCCTGTGCTCTTTTCACCATTTTGTAACTGACCGTGGTGCCACCTAACATCCGTTACATTCTACACGGTTGCCAAATATTCTAATAATACCGATGTTTAAGATAAATTTCTCATATATAGTTTAATGTTCTTATTTTTGAAGAATAATTGAACAAGTATCAATTACTGGTACACTGTCAGTTATTGGTGCACTTACCTTACCACTTAAGTCGCCATTTTCATTACCCTTTTCCGTCACTCGAAGTGCGTCCATCTGTCATCGCAAAATAGTGTTTTTGTCGTCTCTATTTTATTCTATCTCAATAGTTTCTATAATGATGCGTATTTCATCTGCTTCTGAAATTAGATTCAATAACTATAATTGTTGTGTACTCGACGAACACACAGTTGCAAGATAATTTGACGAGAACATTCAAAACCATTTCTCGTTTTTCTACAACTGTCACATAATTTGAAAGGAATTGGTGTATCACAGTTAGTTTTCGGAGTTTAAAAATTGACTGTATTATAATTCCTGACAACATTGATTTTTAATAACTATGTCAATACATTCTTAAAATGTTTTGGAATTCTAATTATTTTGTTTTTTTTATAGCCTACGATTATATGTATCGTTGAATTAAATATTATAATAAAAATATAAATGTTTAAAGAACAATAATTGTAATATATTTACACCTACAGGAAAATGATTAAAGCCTTGTTCAGAGTAGAAGCAGAGCGTCGTTGGTAAACAACCTAGTGTTAACAAACGCAAACGAACAGAGCGAGAGCGACCAGCGATGCGATATCTGAAATATAAATCGTACTCTGAACAAGGAAGGCCTAATTAACTGCAAACCCTACTCTGTATTTCTTTAAAAATATCTGGTAAAGACCTATAAAAAATAATGTGTCAGATAAGATCCGCCTCTGTACCATTTACTTAGTACGATGATAAACCTGTACTGTATACATTTTTCTGTGCTAAATATTAATTTAACGTTTATCTGAATCTGCTGATTTTTAAACATCTAATCTGATGTAACTAATTAGAATTACTAGCTGTTTTTCACTCAATTTATCAGAAATTCTTATAATGCCCGCTTAATCATAATTATACGCATAGAAAACTGAAACACAGCTCGAGTTTGTTATTCAATTATCTACTAATATCACTTTCATGCATAAATGTTTTAGTCATGCAAATGTTTTCTTCATTTATGATTGTGGTTTTGATAATTGGACCTGAAATATTAATTATTTCAATCGAGAGTTAGTCGGTGATGGATTTTAAAGATCATATCTATTCTTTATTTGACTAGAAGCTACCAGTATTAATATTAAATAAAAATACAAGTTGGTTGGCTCTTGAGTTTTTGGTATCTGGCTTCGTTTTCGAGAAATAAATTAATTCAAAATCTGCTCGTTTCTGAACTTATTGATAATATAATTAATGACGTGAGCTCAAAATGGGAGAAGGGGGGTCAATAAATATCGTTAGGTCAACTTTATAATTCAGAGAATAGGACGGGTAACGTTTGGTATTACAAACTAAATCCGGAGCATAGGCAATATTAAATATTGTCTACACTAAGAGACATCTTTATTTACTGTTAATAAAATTTTGATTACTATTTATTAAAACGTTAATTTACCTCGTTCCCAAATTAAAAAAAAAAATACTAATAAAAAATTTATAGATGTTTATTTTTGCATACTTTTCAAGTATTTAAAGTATTAAAAAATTTCACATTAAATAAATACATAAAAATGAATTTTTCAAATGTAATGTCAATATGATTTTTTGAATTCAATACATGATTATTTTTATACATTTTGAACACAATTTTAAATTAATAGATCGATATATGCAGATTCGTCTTAAATTTTTCTTGGGTATTGCGAATTACCAAAAGGAACAGCGACAGCTAAATAAAAAGCGAGCACGCGCTATATCCTATTTTGTGATGAATTGATTTTTCTTTTCTTTTTATTTCAAATTATTATTTCAGAAATATTACATTAACAGGCTATTTTTACATTTCATGAACATTTCAGAAATGCTTCTGGGACGTTTCGTAATATTTATACATTACAAATATTTTAGTATTACATTTTTGAAATATTTCCTATTTTTTTTTCTGTTTTAAGAAAAGTATCTGTAATTTACGATTGGAAAAGAAGATTGTACAAATAAAAGTTGCTTGTGATGTTATTCTCTATAATTTTTGTCCCATACATGATTTCTCTAAAATGGATTGAAGTCGGGATGTTTGAGGTAATGTCCAAAATTGAATTTTATTTTCAATTATAATATCACTACTGCCTAAATTATTTCCGGAAATATTTTCGAAATCACGAATATTTTGAAAATTATTTTATACATGATTTCTCTAAAATGAAGCGTAATGATAAAATCTTCAGTTTTTTTAAATCGGCTAACTTTTCGATGATCGCTGTTAAAAATAAAGCTTGTTCTGCAATGTCGTTCACTTCTCTTAAATTCTCGGTAATTCACTTAGTATATAGACGATGTTATTACTCATCGTTTTGTTGGGTTTTTTCGCCGCTCAGCCTACCTGAATCAGACTGTAAACAGAATCAGGGTACATGAACTATGGTCAAATTTCATACCCCGTTGACGCCCGATTTGCAAACCTACATGGCGATCGAGTTGCGACGAATTCAGGTAGTACCTCCAGCTTGGATCAAACAAAAATCAAACCTATTATACAATTAATTATTCTATTTTCATAGTATTGAGATGCTCAGGTGTGATTTGAGCTTTTAAGCAGTTCCCAAAAATAAAAATCAAGCTGCGCCAAGTTTGGCGACCGTGGTGGCCATTTTATAGTACCTATAACTCGATTGGGAAGTTGTTCATTTAGGAAAGTAACCACTATCTGTGCATTATGTGATGTACATCTATCTGTCTTGTTGGAACCAAATGTCATTGAAGTTGACCTGAAGGTTTCTGACGGCAGAAATAATGTGATTTTCAAGTAGTTGTAAATACGTCTGGACATTCAGTTTACCCCGAGGGGCAAACCACCTTCGAATTATGGTGTACACATTGATGGAATTCCAGTGGAAGTATGTGGAAGTCCGTGGAATTCTAGAGGAGTTCCCTAGAATTCCAGTGGAAGTCCGTGTAATTCCAGTGGAAGTCCGTGGAAATTTCATCACATAGCGCATGCGTCTCGCCTTTGTGTTACGACTCTTTCACATAACGACTATAAACTGGCGGTAATGGCACTTGGGCTGATCTATAATGATCGATGCGGGGATTTTGGAAACAATGGCGTTTAGAACATGAGCTTTATACAATTTCTAACAACTAACTAGCGTAATGCTCATAATCTGATAAAATTGGTGCAGATCTTCAGAGATGATGAAATTTTGAGCATCAGTATGATGATTCCGTGGCTCTTCAGTAGTCAGATGTGTGAGAAACTTTTCCGTGCTACTAGATCATTAACATCAACTTTTTCAACTGTCGTCAATTTTAGTATTAAAGACATTTTACAACGTATTAATAGGATAAGCGCTATAAATGATACTATTCACGATTTAAACCAAGAATTCATATTTCTTAGAGAGAAAAAAACAATACAATAACAAAATATTAAGAATCTCGATAATGACTTAATTGAAAAAAACGTATTAAGAGCCTTAAACGACGCTAAAGAAGATACTAAAAAACTTGGAATAATTTTAAAATGTGAAGAGGATAAATCGTGGAATATACTGAACCTAAATGTAGCAAAGGATAATAAAAATGAAGATTGCGATAATCTAGTAAATATACATGATACCGTTACAAATGTTATCAGAAATGTACTGGAACATCAAATAAATGATGACGCTGAATACAGAACCGAAAATTTAGATAGAATTTTAGATTTGTCAGAAATCGTCAACAAACGGGAAAATCTTAATGTAAAGGATTTTTAAGAAAAACATGTTCAGAACAAAAATTTATCTGAAAACAGTCCATTCGTAGAAGTGACCTTGGGGTCTAAAATATTGATTATTAAAACATCCACTCTATGTTGGCAGCTTGAAGAGAACAAGGAAAAAATTAGCAGTGACAAACTGCCAAGATTTGTGACAAAAAAGCAATATGACCAGTCAGCTTCATTAAAAAGTAACATACAAAAACATTTAAGAAAACTGACAGTGTATCTATTGGCGATTGGTGTATTTTTTCAAATAATGGCAATTTTAGGGAGTTTCATGTAACTTTACCCTCGACTTTAGCAACCGGCTTATTTAGAAGATACCTGATTGGAAGAATTTTGTGGTTCAGTTATCTATCAGGAACAAATAAAAATAAACAGTATTCCCTAGAAAATGCTCCAACTACAGCTATCAATATGAAAAATCGTGGAATCGGCTGTTTATGTTCCTGGTATATTTTACATAAAAGGGACATTCTGGAAAAATTAAATCTGAAAAGTCAGTTTTTTTATAACATTATTCATTACGAGTCTACAATAAGCTCCGAAGTTATCAGTCTCAAAAAAGGGGAAACTAAAAAACAAATTTTCATTAAGAAATTGTATTTGAAAGACTTTGAATCCTTAAACCATTCCGAGATTCATGAAGTTCAGGATATTTCTGAAAGAAATTTTACTTTTGTACTTTCAGGAACCTCATCAGAGGAAGATTCAAATTACGCAGAAAGCAGGGAACCCTCTCTGAAACCAATGACTTGATGTCTCCGAAGATGACAAGGAGATAAAAGCGGAAAAATATTACGCGACCCATTATGATCACAAATGGTTTATAGGAAGAATCATTGAAAGAACTGAAGACGGACAATTCAAAATAAAATTTTTATCAGAAAATCTTGGTTATTTCGAGTGGCCAAAAAATGAAGATGTCGATACCGTCGCGAAGATGCACATCATGTATGGACCAATCGAATTGATTGGTTCTCATCCATTCACAATTAGAAGATTTGATGAGCAAAAAATCGAGAAAAAATACAAGAAATTTAAAAGAAATATAAAATGACTTTTATTAAAAAAATTTCTGTATTTTGTGATATTTGGTTCTGTTTCTGTTTCATTGCTTTTTAAAGTTTTTTTTTTTTGTTGTTTTTGTTTTCTTTAATATAGTTAGTTTGTGTTTTTTTTTTTAAATTTTTCATAATTTGATTACTTGCCGATTTTTTTAAATCTGCACCCCCTATATAGATTGTTAAACTCTGTCAACATTTAATATCATGGTAAACCCCCAAAAAATTTAAAATCTTCGAATTATCACTAATAACATATATTGAGTAGGTATAGACTATATTATTAATTGGTAAGGGGGCGTCCATTAATTACGTGAGGTATTTTTGAGGATTTTTTGACCCCCTCTCCCCCCCTGGTGAGATTTTGTAAGTTTTTCCTCAACTCCCTCCCCCCTCCCCTAATCTCTCGTGAGATTTTTAAAAATTTGTGTTTTGGGTGTATATGCGTTGGATTATTAAAAAAACAAACACAATATGTTTTATTACTTTTATTTTAGACTAAACATTTCTAGAAACATTCTTTACTTTAATTTAATTTTCACGCAATTTTACACCGTTTTCTACTAGAAAAAAAATACGTCAGATTTACAAAGACCCCCCTCTCCCCCAAGTGAGATTTGGAAATATTTAGCTTGATCCCCTCCCCCCCTTGAACACCTCACGTAATTAATGGACGCCCCCTAACCAGGACATATTATTTACATCAAAAGATTTCAAACACTAAACTATAATATAAATGTTTAATGAGTCAGCACATGCGCAGAATCTTCTTGTAATATTGAGATTTACTTGATATGTACACAAAATCCCTAAAATTTACAACCTTATAAGTAAAACATACCTACTTTTATTTCATTTTTTAAAGTGGTAAATAGCGGGTACTTGGAGTTTACTGTTCATGATAGTGGAATTCCATGGAATTAAATTTAGTGAAAGTATGTGGAATTCCAGTGGAAGTACGTGGGAGTGTGTGGAATTTCGGTGGAAGTACGTGGAATTCTGGTGGAATTATTTAAGGAAGTGAAATTATGGTGTACAATTTTTCTCAGGTGGTTTGCCCCTCGGTTTACCCCGAATGAAAAAGGGTCCCTAGATTACGTCGCTTTATAGAAAAACTTTAAATTTTGTATGCACATAAGGTTCCTTTCTGGCTCAAATCCAGTTATACTTCCGATCAGTTATATACAGGATGAGCAGTTTTTAAAACGAAAATTGTTTTACAGTCGCCAGATTTCGACTGAAATTGGTATCTGAGAATTTTGGAAGTCAAAGATTACAGATCCCAAATAAATTTTTAAAAATTCAAAATGGCGCTAAAAGGAATCTTATTTAATCAAAAATGATCCCACTTGAATGGAAATAATAAAAATCGTCCTTTTGGTTTGTGTAACTGGACCATTTTGAAAGCAGCCAATCATTATTGTTTAATAACGGTGATCGTGACGAAGAATACCCAGTAGACGCGAAGTGAGAATTTGGGTGGGATCAAGAGAAAGATCGATGGAGAGAGAAATGTGAGAAAGGGTTTTTGGTTTGGTGCTTTTAATTTTAAATGATCTAAATTTAAGTGCTTAGGAGTTCCTTGCTTTTACAATTTCCGTATCGAGGGAAGTTCTGAGTAAAATACTTTACCGATTTTTTTTTTTTTTCATTAAGTTTGCCCCTTCTTGCACGTCTTGTCTTCCAAATAATAAAATCAAAGGAACGCCATCTGTGGACGCGCATTAACAATAACAATACCTCGTTAGGCCGTGTCAGTCCCACTCGAATCGCCTCTTAATCGTTCGGTGCTAAAGAATGATTTGTTTGTATGTATCGCTTTGTTGGTTATTTCATATTCAATTGTCGTAAAACGTTCGAGTGAAATGACGGCGAACGATTCGACGTCTCCTTGTTAGATGGAAATGACTCATTTTATTTGTTAATTAATTTATATATGTGCATAATTACGAGGTTTTTGTCGGATGTCGAGTGTTCATTGGCGCACTACTCGGATTTGTTGTATATAACCAAACGAGAATAATGTAATAAACAGTTTTAGTCTCATTGGTTACTACACTTCATTTTTAAACTAAGACAAGCGATTTTAATTTTTTGCGTCTAAAATTCTAATTTGTTTTTTGACAGTCAAGTTCATATATACCAAAATCGTCCAATAATGTATTTTCTTTATCTTTTTTCTGTCTTTCTTAGCGTTCTTATTTCGTATTTTATTCTTTCTAATTATCGAATTCAGTTTTTTTCAGGACTTAATAGGCAATTGTGTTGTTTTTTCTTTCATTATCGTTAATCCAAAAGCAAATTAATCAGTTAGTTAGTCTTCAAATATAAAGTTATTTAACTTCAAAGAAATCAACGTAGCACTAAAGTCATCATTTTCATTACACTTATCCATTACTTGAAGTGGCGTTCATTGCGTCATATCGCAAAATAGTGTTTATGCCGTCTTTACTTTATTCTATCTCGATGTTATATATCTATGTTATATTAGGATTGAAAGATATATCAAAAAATTAAAAAGTAATAGTATTAATAATTTAAATAATGTTATATACTTACAAAATTATGATTAATGTAAAATTCCTAATGCTTTTTAAATTTCAAATAACACAGGCCCGCGAAAATTTTGTGATCTAGCCATTTTATTTTTTTTTCACCTATTTACAACTTCTATATAGCTAAAATAACCCCCTTTTATTCTATCACGTAAACTTTTTTTTGTAAACTAATATCAAGGGTATTATCCCTGAACATCACAAACAAATTAATTTGAATTCCTTATTTTTGTTCAAAACGTTGAGACGCGTTAAAACCTCGTTTTAATTTGCACATTTGTAGGGGGATTTACCGGTACTTACTAGAATATTGTTGGGGATTTCCTGAGACTCCATTTATTCAAGAAAGAGGGCGATATATTTAGTATCCCCGTGGTATTGTGACAGGCGTTGTCTATCGAATTCTATCGGTGTTTCGTTGTGCACTTTCTATTAAAAAAATGTCTAGTAGGTGTTGTAAAAATAGGCCTGATAACTTTTGTTATATTTGTGGATACTTTATAGTGTAGAAGTTTAAAAGAAACATTACTGATTTCGTAAAAAATGCATGTTTTGCTTATTTTAAAGTCAGACTTGGAGATCAAGATAAACCTTGGGCGCCACATGTTATCTACAATATTTGCAAAAAATCCTTGAGTCATTGGGTTAAAGAAACAAGAAAAGCCCTACTGTTGGGAATACCAATAGTCTGGAGAGAACCTAAAAATCACATTGACGACTGCTATTTTTGTCTTTGTGATATTAAAGGTCATAACACAAAATCTCTAAAGTATATTAACTATCCTAATCTTTCGTCTGCAATAAGACCAGTTCCACATGACGCTGATATAGCTGTATATGTTCTACCTAAAGTATTACAGTTTATCGAATCAGAATCTTCAACAGATTCAGAAATTGACATTTTTGAGCCATCTACCTCAGGAACCCGTGAACCGCAGCTATTTTCTCAAGTAGAACTGAATGACTTAGTCAGGGATTTGGGACTTCCAAAAGACCTCTATGAGGTTTTAGTATCAAGGCTTAAAGAAAAAAAAATTACTTTCTCCAGGTATTACATTTTATTGGTATAAAAATCGTGAGGCTGAATTTGTCAATTACTTTGCCGCAGCTGGTTCACTTGTATATTGTCAATATGTATCTGACTTGGTTATTCACATAGGTGCTCCTGAATTCAATCCTGCCGAGTGAAGACTTTTTATAGACTCTTCAAAGAGAAGTCTTAAAGCTGTTCTACTTCATAATGGCAATTTATATGCATCTGTTCCTGTTGGTCATTCTACTCAGCTAAAAGAAAATTACGAAAATCTTGAGGTACTCCTTTTAAGAATAAACTACAGACAATAACTGGATTTCTATGTGGTGATCTTAAAATTTTA